GACGTTTGAGGAGTGGCGGGGCGTGCTTCCGAGGGCACTGGCGTCTGGCGTCGCTCCTGGGACTGTTTCTCGATCTTCTTGACTTCCTCTGGCCCCTGTGCGACCGTGGCATGCACTGGACGAGGACTCTGGGAAGCTTGGCTGCCCGCTAGACTGGCTCGCCTGGTGCGATTGATGGCACTATCTTTGTTTGCCCAACTGGCCGACGAGGGGAGAGCAGACCCGTCTGGTTGTCGCAAGCCAGTAGCATCATCCCTACTCGCCTGTCTGCGCATTGGTTGAGAAATAGGTTGAGCCGAGGATCGAGCGACATGTGCAGGAATGGCGTGACTGGGTCCGCTGGGAATACCGTTGGGGCGCTGGCTGGACAGTGTATTCATCGAAGAAAGATCCTGTCGGCTATAACTATCGCTATCGTCGCCCGTCTCGTGCAGGAAAGTACAATTTCGATTATTGCATTGCTCATTGCGGAGAAAAGATGAGCAATATTTGGTGGTCCCATATTGCGCCCTAAAATAGAACAGTTAGCTGAGAGTTGCGAATAAACTTGATGGAGGAATAAAAAGCTTGGCCTACCTGAGTAAACGGTCGCCGTTAGTAGATCCGTCCACGGCAGCGATACAGGTTGCTGCATCCGCCTTGGTTGCATATGTCACGTAGACACCGATACCCTGGTTGGGATTGCCACCTGGTTTGGCCTTGCTGACGACGATTTTTTCGATCTCACCGTATTGACCGAAATAATCCTTTCCGCGCAAAGTTTGAAGTAGTTGACTCTCGTCGCGTATTGTGGGGTTGAGGCCGATCACGTAAACCAAGTTTTTCTGTACGACCCTGACCCCCGCCAGATTCTTCCGGCTGGAAGCTTCGATTTCGCGCTTTTCAGCTTCCTTCTTTTTTGCGGCGGCAGCCTTTCGATGTTTCAACGCCAAGTCTGCTTTGAACCTAGTGTGAAAATGGAGCCGTTAGCGCCAAGAAATAGACATTTGGGTGAAGCTGAGGACGGGAGTGTTGCCAATGCGCGGAAAATGTTATACGTACTCGTCTGCATCAGGAACCTTGTATTGTATAGTGCTTTCATCATAAACGCGCCTGCAGTTGGGGCATCGGCCCTCTTCGCTATGGGTCTTAATGTTGTTGTAGCAAAATTGGCAGATCTGTTTGGTCAACGGTTAGAAAAGAATTTGCGCCAACGCACACCGTAAGGCAACAAGGAGGGGAGCTATGCAAGGAGTAACACACCTGATAACCACAAGGGCATGGCTTAAAGTTCTTGTCGGACAGATCAAATTCTTCAATGCAGAGAGGGCTAAGGTCGAGAATTGTCAGCCAACCGCCGAATAACAGCAGCGCTGGGAAACGACTCCAAACATACCAGAACTCATCGTCATCATCGATGACAGAATCTATTTGCGGGCGACTCGACATAGTGATCGTCCTTGTGAGAGTGTACTAACAGAGTACGTATGTGCAGGTGGATGCGAAACCCCAATACCTATAAGCCGAAACTCGGAGAGAAGGGGGAAAGAGGCGAAGAAACCGAGAAAAAAAATGATCGGTCGCTGGAAGGACAGTAAAGCGATAAGAGAAATCCAGAGGACTCTAGAAAAGAAAGCAAAGATGTCGGAGAAGAGGAGAAGAGGAGAAGGAGAGAAAGGGAAACGGTGATTAGTAGGGAGCAGGACTTGCAGCAGTAACAGCAGAGGGAGAGAGAGTTTGAGGCGAAGAAAGAGAGAACGAAAGTTGGACGCGGAGCTGCCACATTGTGTTTGCCTTGTTTGCTTTGTTTGCATGTCTTCCGCAGATTATGTCAGCTTGCACGTGACTCCATGATTCCCAGCAACCTCGAAGTCCTCTCCGGCCAGCTCCCTGTGGATGTCTCCGGTTGCTTGAACCGCCCCTCCAACGCCTCAATTTCCTTCTCCGGATCCGCCATTGACCTTCCACCATGGCCTCTGCTCGCTCCTTGATGCGACTGGGCACTGGCCGCTCGCTGGCATCGGCTGCGAGGTCATCATCCCAGACATGCCGTGCCTTCTCGTCGACCGTGCAGCTCGCCTCCAAGGCCTCAACTGTTCCCGAGCCTGAGAATATGCGCCAAGCGCACCGTCCCCGTATGCAATGACTAAAAAGAGAGGCCGAGCTTCAATGACTGACTTTGAGTATAGCCCAAGGAGCTCTTCGCGCACCGGTCGTCAACCCAGCCGACAAGTACCAGGATAAGGCGGAGAGCCTGCACAAGTACGGCCAATATGTCATGTCCTGCCTGCCCAAATACGTCCAGCAGTTCTCTGTGTGGAAGGATGAGCTCACAATCTACGTCCCTCCTACCGGCATCATCCCTGTAATGAGCTTCCTGAAATACCACACGGCGGCCGAATTCACCCAGATCTCCGATATTACCGCGGTTGATTTCCCTACTCGTGACCAGCGCTTCGAGGTCGTCTACAACATGCTCAGTGTCCGCTATAACTCCCGTATCCGTGTCAAGACTTATGCCGATGAGGCCAGTCCCGTGCCCAGTGTGACCGGTCTGTTCGAAGGAGCTCTGTGGTACGAGCGTGAAGTCTACGACATGTTCGGTGTCTTTTTCAGCGGCCACCCCGATCTGCGTCGTATCATGACCGACTACGGTTTCGATGGACACCCTCTCCGCAAGGATTTCCCCTTGACCGGCTACACTGAGCTGCGCTACGATGAAGAAAAGAAGCGCATCGTCATTGAGCCGCTTGAGCTGACACAGGCTTTCCGGAACTTCGAGGGAGGCACCGCTGCTTGGGAGCCTGTTGGGTCTGGTGTTGACCGGAAACCTGAGTCGGTATGTCTGGTAGCTAACGCTTGTGAATCGACGAAAACTAATATGATTCAATATAGTTCAAGCTCCCGACCCCCAAGCCTGAGGAGAAGAAGGAGGATGAAAAGAAATAGAGCTCCAGAATGTATCCGTATTTCCCTTTTCACGTTGTTTGTATGTACATACCGCGTATACGTCGAGGAATCTGTTCGATTCAATGCCGTTGAATATACGTAGTAGCACATCGTAGATAACTCCGGAGGTGATAATCCCAATTAAATCCTCCGCCATTGGACACAGACATTGCGCAGCAAACCAGTTGAACCACGATCAGAAATAGCGACGGTGTCAAATAAAGACACTCAGCAGTACTGACTAGAAAAAGCTCATTCAATCTATTAAAAAATCAACTGCGTCAGAATCTCAGAATCCCTGTATGATGATGATGAAACGCAGCCGCAATCGAAAAGCATCGAATCCACTTCTTGGCATTAATCCGCCGCAGAAAAAAGAATCTCCGCATCCAGCTAACTTTCCACCACCACAACTCCTACACACCACCTAACCAGCAATCCTTCCCAAGAGACGAGACAAAATGCCCAAGCGCAAATTCTCCGACCTAAACGACCGAGCCTCCGGCCCCAGCGACATCAAACTCGCGCGCCTAACCGCCAAATTCGAAAACGGCGTGACGGCCTTATCGCGGGCCCTCAAGACTGCCCGGGCCTTTGAGCGACAAAAACTCGGCCGGCGAGAGAAGACTGCCAAGAGCGAGAATAAGCCGGAGGCGCTGGCGAGAATCGAGGAGGAGATTAAGGTGATCAAGGTAGGCGATGCGATTGCGATTGGTCTACCGAAACCAAGGCGCAAGTGCAAAGGATTGACGCTGATGCTGACGCATGCGACAGACTCTCAATTTCCAGTCCACGGCGGAGAAATACCTCTTCAAGCAGCTTGTCAAGACGAAGCGAATCGCCGAGTCGCCTGTTTTTCTAAAGTTCAAGGAGCGGAAGAATATCCCTACGGAGGGGCCGCGGAGCACGGCTGAGGCGAATGTCACGGCGCGGCTTTACAAGTCGAATCCGGTGAAGAATGTCTTTCCCGGTATTATGGACGGGATCAGGCAGTTACTTGGGCTGGAGAGTGCGCCGGCAGGCAAAAAGAGTGGGCCAGAACAGAAGAAGGAGTCCGCCGACCAGCGGAAGAGTGAAAGCAAGGAGCCAGAGCCGGAGACAGGATCTGACGCCGACAACCGAAAGACTGCGTCCAAGCAAGCAGACGGAGGAGAAGGAAGCGACGTCGACATGGACGACGCCGAGAGCGCAGACTACTCGCACTTCGACGCACGGCTAGCCCCAGGCTCCGGTTCCGACAGCGACGGTGGAAGCGACGCCGAAGAAGCCTCACACTCCGACAACTTAAACAATCCAGCCCACTACTCCGACATCTCTCGTTCCGTCTCCCGCTCCCTCTCTCCCGAACAACCCACGAAGAAATCCAAAAAGTCCACCTCCACCCCAGTGACAAGCACAACCTTCCTCCCCTCTTTGACAATGGGAGGGTACTTCTCCGGCTCTGAGTCCGAGCCCGAAGACCTCGAGGGCGTCGCGGGCCCACCGCGCCGAAAGAACAGAATGGGCCAGCAGGCTCGCCGTGCCCTCTGGGAGAAGAAGTACGGAAGTGGAGCGAACCATGTCAAGAAACAAAAAGAGAATGAGTGGAAGAATAGGGACGGTGGCTGGGATACGCGCCGGGGCGCTACGGATGGCACTGAAGGGCCGAGAGGGAAGCGTGGCCTGGGTCAGGGCCGAGCGGGCGATAGATTTCGACAGAGGGATAACGATGCCACCGGTGGTGACCGGCCGCACCGTGGTCCTCCCGGCGGCTCCAACAAGAAGAATGTCAAGGATGATAAACCGTTGCATCCTTCTTGGGAGGCGGCCAGGAAGGCCAAGGAGCAGAAGTCCATGGCGGCGTTCCAGGGAAAGAAGGTCACGTTCGACTAGTTTGCATATTTGTCTCTTACGAATGATAATACCCTGCGAAGAAATTTCTGGTATTGTGGATGTACATATAGCATTGTGTTGATATATTCAAAATAGGTATCATGCATAAAATGCGAGGCTAATAGCCCGCTCAAGCTGTCATATCACAATTTCCCCATTGGAAAACTGCCTTGCCTACGTCTTCAGCAACTTATGTTCATTCATTCTCCCATGAATTGCATCCACCTCGTATCCGGTGGACATCCTGGGGACGACTTCATGTCACTCCCAAGGCCCTGTTGAGCGTCAGTCTCAAAACACGGAATGGCAGTAAACTCGCCCAGTTCCTGCGGAAAGTTGGAGACAAAGTGGTCGAATCCCAAAGGCGGCATTTGAGAGAACGCATGGGGTACGGAAAAGTCCGAAGAGCCTGCAATATCTGTGCTAGCGACATCGCCTTCCATGGCGTCGTTGCCTCCCTCCGTGCCGGTCATCGGCGTGACAGGCACCGGAGGGATTCCTGCTTCAGGGCGCGCTGGCGTATACTGTTCAGGGAACGTGACTGTTGTCCCTGGTGAGATAGGTCCGGTCTTCCATAGCATTTCCCAGTTCTTGAAGCGATCGTAGGCGGACTCGGCGGCACCGGCATTTCTTTGAGCCTGTGTTTCGCTCCAATCTTCAAGACGGCGAATGGCCCGCTCGAGCGCCTCGATCACGCTGACGGCGGACCTCGCCGAGCCCACTCCCATCGACATGATTTTGATCAGGGCCATGCCTTTTTCTAGCGCTTCGCGCAGCCTTTCTGTCCGCTTGGTCAAGCTCTGGGCTAGGATGACCAGCAGCGCGGCGCGACAGGAGCTAAATTCGGTGAATGACGCTCGAGCAAGACCGGTTTCATCACGGAGTAGCCGACAGAGATCGATGATCTCAAGTGCCGCCTCGACGCAGTCAGTGACGAGCGTTGACCAATTTTTCGAAAGTCCGGATGTCGTCTTGAACGGAGGCCCTTGAAACACAGCTGGGTTGGTGGACTTCATGTTACTGAATAGGAAGGGTCGCCCAATAAAGATTCTCGTTAAGCAGTAGTCGAGTTTCAAGTGTACATTCGAACGGAATAGGGGTCCAGAGGGGTTCAAGTCTCGACAATGGGTCTCTTCTGGTAAAGTAGCCCACCAGTCCAACAGACTTTTTCTCAGACTGAGTAACCGCTCAAGACAATCCTGCTGTTGACCTTTCCGGGATTTCCGCAACACGGATCTGCTAATGTTAGTGCTCGTATGAATGACCAAAACTCAGGCATACGCACATCTCGTTTGAAACCTCACCCAGTTTCAGAGTCAACTTGATCAATGTTACCATGTTAGTATGGTTGGACACTTGACCTGTGGGCATCAGACCAGGAAAGTCGACCGGCATCGCGGCGTCAACATCCGCATCAGATAAAGAAACCGGTCTCCCATGAAGAATACTAACGCGCCTGTTTTGATGAGCATATGGTGGCTAACTTGATCAAAGGAAATGACATACTTCTCTATGGTGTACGCCGTCCAAAAGACGCGGTTGCGGACCTCGATCATCCGCGGACTGAGCCCCTCGCCCTGATACTTCCGATGCATACCGTTCTGGATAGCCATCTTCAGTGCTAGCCCAAAGTATGTATAGCAGAGTCCAGATGTGTCGAGAGGTAGTAGATATGTGCCTATCAACAGACAGGCCTGAACACTCCGAACCGAGGCAGTGGCGATGATATCGGGAAGCAATTTCGACGCGAACTGGTAAAACGTGAGCCCGACTTCATCTTCCGAGAAGTGATGGTCATCATTAATCGATGAGTCGGCTGCTAAACGATTGACAGGAGTGGCAGACTCCATGTGAGCAAACTGTGTCCCAACCGCCAGGACCATGAGGATCGAGCAAACCGAGCCAGCATCGTCGGACGAAAGGCTCGATGGGTTTGTATAACAGGTGTGCATTTTTTCCAGTAGCCAGTCCTCTTCCACGTAGAAATTATTTGTCTGTGCGTACTTGAAGAAGATTTGAACCAGAAAATCTGCCACATAACGAGGCGGCAAACAGGTGATGGCTGCCGAGACCATCGAAGAGCCTGACTGTAGCTGTGTCGCCCGCCATCTCTCCTCAAATGGTTCCGCTTCGGTAGATGCCTGAACGATCAGCAAAAGCAAGACCGTAGGTATCGTCAATACATACCTCTGGCGCCGCAGCTTTCATCCATTCATCAATCTTTTTCCGAATCTTCATCGAGAAGTTCAAATATGAAAACTCTCCCGAGTATTCTATGTTCGCGATCAGTCAACTCTCTAAGAAAATCAAGAGGAAGCTCTGTGCATACGTGTAGTATTATCAGGCAAAGCCTTGATCATAAAATCCTCATCCTCGATGGCAAGATCCTCAAGGTCCTCGCCCTCAACACGAGTCGAGGGGACATCAGACTCGGAGCCTCGGTGCTTACTCTTCAGCTCCTCAGCCGCCTTTCGCAACGACGGAATGTCAAACGAAATGTTGGGCACATAGTACTCCAGAATGCGCTCCATGAGTCGGACCCGCTCCACTTCAGCCAGATCGTGACGGCTGAGGCCGGCGGTGCGCTCCAAAAGGCTGACGTACATGATGAGTTTGCGGGCAACAACAAAAACAGTTTGACGTCTAAGGGTAAATCAAAACTTACGAGACTGACGATGAGCGAGCAAGTTTCTCTGCATGATCGGGGTGAGTAAAGACACACTGTCGCCGATAGCGCAGACATCGCCGACAAGGCACGCCTCCCTCGCATTTCTCCTTGACTCGTCGACAACCATCGCATCTGCGAAAGTCAATTATCGGTAACCTCTGGAAATGTAGTAATAAAAGAAATGTAGCATTATGGGAGTCGTGGAAGACGGAACTTACGCTCTCACAGCTCGTTTGCGGTTTTCCTCCGAAACGCGGGGACGTTTTGGATTCCCCCCCAGAGATGCCGGGGTAGAAGCATCCATGACAGTCTTGAATATATGTAATCAAGGAGGATGATGGATAACCATTGTCTATCCGTCAGGGACAATATGAATGAAGGGCAAATCCTAGTTTACTTCCACCAGTCCAAGTTGATGTCGAACCGAGTGCTTAGCTGGGGGGAAAAAGCCGATCCGCCGGGGCGGTGTCTGTTAGTTTTCTCCGGCAGTGGGGGGAAATTAATAAGGTCTTGTGCTCCCGGCTGATAAACCTGATAAGCAAATGCGCAATTCCCCACAGATCCAAATAGCATTGCATAAGTACGAGGGTTATGACTCTCTACAGCCTCTTATTCACGGTCGTGGTCGTACCTGGGCAAGAATATATCTGTGCTCTAACTCGGCCATTACTACTCGAGGGATTGCATTGTCACCTGATTCATGCCTCAGGCATACGTCTCTCTCTGTCTCTCTCTCTCTCTCTCTCTCTCTCTCTCTCTATATACATATATATATATAGCGAACCCACTACCTGATATGCTGCTGCTCATCCACGTTCATAAGATAGATATCAAAGAACCATCAGAAACCATCCACATTCATTCCCAATCCCTTCTCGACACCAATATCCAACAGCTTCTTCCCAATCACCAAATCCATGATGCCCATACCCACGCATTTAAAAACCACATTACACCCCTCCGGCACCACAATTGGCTCTGACTTGCCCGATCTCCCAAACAACTCGCCAATCTCAATCAGCTGCTCCCCACGTACCTGCGCCTTGATCAGCTCCCCAGATTCCTCAAGACAAGCCTCCCGAGAATCAACATAGACCTGTCCACCACCCGAGAGGACCGTCTCCGTGTCAACCTCACGCATATGCGGCTTGTACGACCCAATAAGCGAAATAAACCGCTGCTTAGGTGCAGACGTAGACGCAGACGTAGACGAAAGATACCCGTAGGGAAAATTAGGCTCCGTAGACGGCGTGCAGCTGAAAATGACATCGCACGAGGCGACCTCCGCGCGCAGCCGTGCCTCATACTCAGCATCATCAGTCCCCTCTCTGGTCAGCGTTGCGAATACGATATCAGGATGAGAGCGTCTCAGCTCCGCAATCACCTCCCTCTCCATCTCCTCCAGCCGCCTGCGGCCCCGGTTGATGAAGGTGATTCGCCGGACCAGCTGTGGAACCAGCAGCAGCGCCAGCCGAGCGTGCCATTCGGCTTGACGTCCCGAGCCGAAAATCAAAATGTGAGTCTTAGCGATGGACGTGCAGCGTGTAAACAGCGTCATGGTTGCGAGGGCCGTGCGAAAGGCTGTAACTTCTGCGGCGCTGAGCAGGCCGAGCAGCCGGCCCTCCGGCGAGAAGATGTTGATCACCCCGATGATGCCTTCGCGCTGGGAGGCCGTGACGATCTTTATGCCTGTGCTGGCTGTGTTGGAGACGGGCATGAAGAGCGATAGATTCTGGTCTTTAGTGGTGATGGTTGTGCGGAGGGGTTGATGGACGAGACGCTCGGGTTCCGGTTTTGTTGTCTCTGATGAGACGGTTATCAAGGCTTCGCTCAGGGCGTCAAGTAAGATGTGGCATTGTTCTGGAGTTAGGTTTCTCAGAATGTGAGACACGTCTGGTTCGGAGAGAAGATGCATCTTGGGCCTCGAGATGAAATAATGTCGAGATGAAGTAATGTCGAGATGAAATAATGTCGAGATGAAATAATGTATTCCGCAACCGCAGGAAGCCGTGTTTTCTCGTTGATACAAAAGTCACTTGTACTAGTAGACTCTCCTTTATGGAGTCATTAAATGATTCCCTGTCCCACTGATAATCTATGGCGATGTCGGAGGTGGAGTTAAACTGCGCTGGGATTGTTTAGCTGCACGTCGGAAAGAAGCCCAGATAGTGGCCGGTCCTAACCGAGTATTTAACCAATTCCTCTTTAAATGGGATCTTGATGCTCAACGTGGTCCATTTATTCTACTACGGGTACATCCGACCCCGGGTCTCTCTCAAATGATCAAGAAACATTCATGGAGGCAAGATTGCAGACTGAGTCTAGTAAAATATGAAAAAAGCTAAGGTATGATCTATATCAACAACAATGAATAATCCCCTTGCAAGGTTACAATTTCAGCAGGTATAGGAACCATTCTGGATCAATATCCAGCCCGGGGCTCTTCAGGAGTATATTTCGCACAGTGGTCCGGTGTTGGTTCTGTTGCTCAGGACTTTTCTCACTGTTCTGATACCAGTCTTTTGCTCGACGCAGATGTTTTTCGGCGAGACCGGCCAACGCCAGACGGTGTAGTAGGGCCTGGATGTCCAGTGGTGGTGAGTGGCGAGCCTGTTGAAGAATCGTTACCGACGTGCGCCAATCTTCTGAGGCGATAGCGTGCATCCACGATTGCCACCAGGTAAACTGCCAGGGGACGATTGTGTCTAATCCATTGTCGACGTGGAGGATCATTTTCGCAATCTTGGATCCCAGCCAGGGATTATTTCGAACAGCCACATATATCGGGAAGTTACCAGCCGCATCGGGGATCAATGGATTTGCTCCGCGACTGAGAAGGAATGCCAACACCGTGTAGATGTCGTCCACAAGCTGCCTTCTCTCCAGGAGCAGCATCAGAGGTGATTGCCGGGCCATGTTGAGGTGATTGACATCCGCTCCCCTTTCCACCACGATCTGAAGTAATTCGTATACCGAAGGATCATAGTACCAAGCACCCAGGAACCTAATGAGCTGATGGACACATGTCTCGCCTATGCTGTTGACTCTCGCGACATCTAATTTCTTACATATCAAGGTGGCAAGCCGGGTGTCACATTTCTGGGAGGCAGAGCGAGTCTTATAGCAGTAGTGCAAGAAATATGTTAATAGACGCTGAGAGTTCGGTCCTATCGTGACATCCGGGTCAGCACCATTGCCTAGAAAGCTCCTGAACAATGCGTTGAGGTGACTGTTACCGTCAGCCCAAGCATTATATGAATTTGCGAGGAAGAGCTTGAACAGAGATGTTATCATCTCAGTTGTGAGATCGGCGGCCTTGGCCGTCAGCATCTTGTCAACATGACGTCCATGATCCCAGCTCATGGTCGGTGAGACGAGTTCCACAGCCTTGTGTATCGGAGTCACACCAAGGTGGTTGGGAATATGGGGATTGGCCCCAGCCTTCAGAAGTTGGGTCACAAAGCTCCTTTCATGATCCTGGTTCAAGCTTCTTGCTGAAATGGCCAGATGCAGAGGGGTATTTCCGTCCGCATTTCGATGGTCAAGGGTGAGTCGAGCAAGATCCTGCTTGACCATGGGCTCGACTTTCTTTACGCGATAGCCGAGTAGAAATTTGAAAATCTCCTCGTTTTGACGCTCAGCAGAGTAATGCACTGGCAGGTTGCCCTTCCGATCCTGAACATCAATTAGTGCCCCTCGGCTCAGCAAGACTTTCACCTCGTCTGTTTGTTCGTTCATGACAGCTCGATGGAGCTTCGTGTAGCCCGATTCGTCTTGTAAGTCCAAGAAGAAGTTCGCAAAGGTCTGGTCAATCATAGGCAGGGGCTCTCCGATCTCAGGATGGTCAGAGGCATAGGCCCCGGGATCAGTAGGATATGTCACGGTTGTGCCCGGTGAGAAGGAGACGAGGTTGTTAGCCTGCGAGTACCTGGGAGCGGAGTCTTTTATGAGCGTGTTGTCCCAAGTCGAAGACGTCTAGTGGATTCTCACCTCGGACGCGCGTGATCGCTGAGCGGTGATAATGTAGTATCATCGTCATCAACCAGCATCCCTTGGTCGATTGACAATCCCGGTGGCGATGTACCAATATTTTCAGCCCGTCTCCTAGTCTTTCTAAAGCCCCAACGCTTGAAACAGTTCTTGTACGAGCGTCTTCTGCTCTCTTGTTCAGTCGCGGAATATTGACTTGAGAGGCATCCACTGTACTCACGACTTGTGAAAACCCCGTCTCCGCATCTCCAACATTACCTCGGTACAGGTCAGATCTTGCTCCAGGTAGAGCTGTCTGATATCGTCCTTGATCTCCTCCCAATCTCTTGTCATGGCTGGCAAGTGTCGACAGACTCAAGTCTCCAGGAAGAGGGAAAGAGGACGACAACGACTAGAAAAGGGCCCAAAGCTCGTAGCTAAAGTGCCAAACGCCGTGCGGCGTGTGCCTTCTCAAAAGACGACTCGGAAGATGAAACAAGAGGGGAGATACCGCAGATGACAAACATGACCGGAAAGAATAAGTAGTATAACCGAATGTCTCCAGGGAGGGAGCAGCCGGATTAAATGGGAAATTCCATGGCCTCATTCTCTTCATTCAAGGGCCCGTCCGACGACACATCCACCTAGTCAATAATCGAAGGACGCTTCCTTCGAAGGGCAGCACAGCCTGATTCTTGCATTATCCTCCCCAGTTCTCCTAAATTTTATTCTCAGCTTCGTGATGAATATCACCAATTTTTGTCTTTCGATTAATCAGTGTCGGCTTCCGGATAGTGTTCCCCGCGGTGCAAAAGTACTGTGCTGTTATCGAGAAAGGGCAGGCTTCCAAGACGATTGGAATAAGGCGTCAACTGCGCCGGCGGCAAGCCAGATGAACTAGTTCTTTTGCGGGAGCAGAACAGAAACCCGTTGTATGGCCGTGCAGTGGTCAGCTGTGATCCTTCCAAT